TTTCAAGTTCCACCTCTTCCTGGTTGACTTCAACCAATTCCTGTTCTGATTATCCTTCTTCTAGCTTCTACCTCTCTGCTCGAGATTTAGGGCTGAACCTGAACCTTCTGATTCGGATGATTTTCTTCTAACCTCCTCGGATAGAATCATGCTAACAACCTCGCTCAGCTTCAACTTGTCCTTCCCCGCTAAATTGCTGATTGTCGTCACACAACATGCCCAACTATCTGGCAACTACGATAGAATCAATAGGATCTGCACTTCGTCATCAAACGTGATGTCTACGGAGATGAGTTGATCAATAATCGTGCTGAACTCGCTAAGGTGCATTGTGAAGGAGTGTCCTTCTGCCATCTTGAGATTGGAGAGTGTCTTGACGAGATGCACATTGTTTGCAACAGACGGTTGCTCGTACATCTTCGCGAGTGCTTCCATAAGCCCCACCGTCGTCTTCTCCTTTAATATGTTGTGTGTGATTGTCTTGGCGAGCGACAACCGAATTTGCCCTAGAGCCTTCCTATCCAGTATCTCTCAATCCTCGCCTGACTTTTCCTTCTTCTTTCCCTTAACATTGCCCATCAACGGGCGATACAAGTCCTTCTGGTACAGATAGTCCTCCATCTGCGACTTCCAGTAGGCGTAGTCTGAACCGTCAAACTTCTTGATCTTAGATTTGCTTTCCTCTGCCATGGCTCTTTCACAATCCTTCTAAACGAAGCTCTGATACCAGTTGTTGGGGATTCGAAATAATCAAATCAAACCATTGCCCTTCCGGAACCTTGTGTTTGAGAGTAGGAAAGTAGGAAAAATCATAGCAAATAAAAGATAAAAATTTACAGGAAAGTAAACAAGAAAGAACACACCAGATTTAACGAGGTTCGGCAATCGTGCCTACGTCCTAGGGAGCCACACCACATAATTCTTTGATTAATATTAAAGAAGATTACAATGCCCATAAATATGATCTAATTTCTCCGAGATCTCTCTGAAGAATTCTCTCGAAACCCTATTTTTCTGATATCTAATCTCTTTTAAGGCGTTCTATATATATATATAAAACCTAAAACCAAAACAACCTATGAATTCTAAAACCACAAAAACAAAATAGATTAGGAATCCTAATAATCTATTACCAAAACAGATTAAGAATCATGTTACCAAAACAGATTAAGAATTCTGTTACCAAAACAGATTAGGAAACCTGCTATTCAACAATTTGTTTGATTCTAGCTGAGCCTACATCCCTTAGACCAACACATTTTGTCACATTACTTATGTAATATTATAATATCACCGTTCTTCTTCTGAAGGATGGACATTATTAACCTCACCAGCTAAAAAACCGGCGGCGGGCGGGGGGTGAATACAAATAAATAAATAAGACAACTGAATGAATCAACATTAAACCGATCTAACGTTTATGTCCAACGGTAAAGATGGTCCCATTACTTGATTTGATTTGGAGCGTTGCAGACTTTAGCCCCAAAACAGTCACTTCATGCATTAATTCGTGCATATGAATTTTCATAGTTTGTTTGTACTATTTTCAGTTTCTCAAGTAATAAGGAATTTTGATATTACTATATCAACTTTGACTCTTTTACATTAAACCCTTCATTTCTTCTAGTTAGACTAAAATGCTGGTGGTTAATATTTTGATGAATGATATAAATATACGGGTCTATAAGTTAACGAATGGGCATGAACTAGAATGCACTGAATTATTCAAGTTCATTATATAAATAGGTTGCTTAAGATACATGAATATATATGATTATGGTAAAGTAAGGTATGAATTTTCACTTATCAATCAAAGTTGATTTTGAAACAGTTTTCCTTCTCAAACTTCATCTACATATTCAATAATTTATGTTTAAGAAATTAGTTTGGCACCCACATAAACTAGATTTGCTGAGACCGATTTTTGTCCAATTTATAATATTATCTTAGTTTTGACAGTTCTACTATCTGAACCAGATCCATTATTAATCTAGCATGATTTTGGGTAACAATCAACTCAGAACCCATCAAAGGGGATGTTGGCCTCAAATGAAAGAGAAGAGAGGGAAATTAGTTTAGTCTCTCTCTCTCTCTCTCTCTCTCTCTCATCATTTAGTTTTAATTGTTCAGTCATTTCCTTTGCAAATTTTTTGTTGTTTTGTGACATTTTTAAAAGTTTTTGGTGTTCCCAAAATGGGCCAAATTTATGGGCAATTTTGTGAGATTTCCCTTAATAACGTAGACAAAGTGAAAAAGTTTTAATATGCATGCAAAACATCACTCGCTCCTTTCGTGTCTTAATTACAATGTTATCTATCTTGCTTTGGCCAAAAAAAGAACATTATTAAGCGTTTACTGAAGAAAGAACTGGATGTTTCTACCATAGAATTTGTTGACAGCACTCGAGCAAGTAATCAATAAAACTTGTTGATCCATAAAAACTAAATAGACAGCAGTTTTCACATAGATCTAAACACCAAAAATGAGTAAGATGAGCCTCAAATTCAGTGGTTTATTTTCTAACGTCAATTTAAATCAGTTTCATGATAAAGGGAACTAATAAAATAAATAAAGTGATTCTAGGGTCGCATTTGTGTGTCACACCTTCGCGTTAGTTATTTTGGCATCATTTTGTTGTCGTTTGACTAGAAGATGATAAATGTGTGTTGTTATCTTTTACATGTGTCAAAGCTATAGGGTTATTGTGATTCTCTAATTTGTACAATTGTTATATCTCTTATTGTATCCATCCATGTGGGATGTTGTCAGCTCAATATGCTCTGACGTTCTTCAAACTTAATGGCCTAGTTGATGATTATCAGTCTCTTTAGTTAATCTAGTTCATTAATGTCAGCTCACGACCTTTTGTATGTTGTCACATTCCTAAAGATTTCTTCCTTTTGTATCAGTGACCTTGCTATAAGCTGTTTGTTTCCATGAAATTCCTCGCTAAAACTAATAGTATAAAAACCGAGTTTACTCTCATAATTCTGTTAGCATACCTTTAACCACAAGTCATACGAACTCTTCTTTCCTCAAATTTCCTTCGTATTTAGATTTGATATTTTTTGTTATAACAGGTTGGATCTAATCATAACTCCTAAATTAATATTTAATTTTAACCATTCTAGTGAGCGATCATGATACATGCATAAATCAATCCTCCAAGATCGACAACTACTCGAAGCCTAATTATCAAATACGTAAGAAATAATATCGTATATTTCTTGCATATCAAACATTCAACAGACAATTATAGTGAATCTTCAAACTACCTTTTTCATAATAAATTATTATACTTAGACGTGCCTCTAAAGCTCAAACCTAACTTTTTGGCGATCTATAAAGTTCCATCATTTTATAGCAAGGATCATAGGGTTTCATTGCGCAACCTCACTCATAAGTGCCATATAATGATATAATTTTCACGCCCTTTACGCTAGTTCCATGATGATAATTTGCTTTAATTATTATCACCAACATGCATGATGATAGCTTAGCTATCAAACCCCAAGGCTCCAAAAGTAGACAAACAGCCAAACAAAAAAAAAAGAGAAAATCAATCAATCAAACCAAACAACCAACAAACCAAATACTGAGCAAACACTGAGCCAACAAACCCCACATTGCTTAAGATTTGGGCAACTCAAATTTGGGGTCCTGCGTTTCCGTAATAAGGAGCACAATTGCTTAATTATGACTCCATTTCATGCAACTACATAAGGAATCGTGCAGGCTTGTGATGTCAAACAATAAATCCATAATACTCTACCAAGCTCCATTCATGATTTACTTAAATATATATAGTCCGAATCAAGCATGATTTGAGCTTTATCTTAAGGTTTTTTTTTTTAACTTTCAACTTTCAGTTTCACCGCGAGATACTAAGAAATAACCAAACACTTCATCAATATATGTAGCATATATCAGGTCAACATGACCAAACTCAGATATAACTGAGTTTTTGAGACAGCACTCATAGCTGGAAACTTTAATAACCATACAAGGGTTACTTAGTATTAGTCCCTCAAATCTTCAATAATTCCTAATATTCCATCAAATCTATGAAACTGCTCATTAGTCCCTCACATCATAGTGCTATTGCAATTTCGTCCCTCAATGATCAAAATACCCTCAACTAGTGTTTCTCTAAGGGTTATTTGCAATTTGGCATTCTACAATTGACATCTTTTAAACTTTGATACCGAAAGTTTTTTAATACTTTGATATCCCAAACTTACACTTTTTTTTAACTTTGATACCTCAAACTTTTTTTGACGCTTTTGATATCACAAAGCTTACATAATTTTTAACTTTCATAACCCAAAGATCCACACTTTCTAACTTTAATATCTTAAAGTTCACACATTTTTATCTTTGATACTCTAAAATTTGGGGTATCAAATCATTAAAAACAAAACTTCGGGATATCAAATTTAAAAATGTATAAACTTTTTTGTGACAAATGTGTTAATTTTTTTAAGGTATCAAATTAAAAAAGGTTGTAAACTTTAGTCTACCAGTGTCAAAAATTTTTGGGGTATTAAAGTTGAAAATGTGTAAAACTTTAGAGTCTCAAAGTGCAAATAACCCCATTTTAGCAAGATGAATTTTTAGAGAGAAACCATAAAATAAGGGTATTCTGGACATTGAGGGACCAAATTACAAGATCAATTAGGATTTCTGGAACTATTCAGCAATTATTGGGATTAGAGGAACTAACTAATATGGAATTATTGTCTATTTGAGGGACTGATATCTAAATAACTCTTAATACAAACCTAACACCAAGGGTAATCCTTCAATTTTCAGACAACTATGGCAAGAGAAATACCTCTGCCTTCTTCCAGACCTATACATTGAAAAAAAACTTGCCTTGTCGTGTGGTACTTTGGCATTGTAAGATGCTCCATGACTCATTAAGCATTAATTAAAACATTACTGTTCACAAATATGGCTATATGAGCATCAATCCACAACAAATTGAAAGGAAAGAAGAATGACATCCGAAAAAAAAGATCCTAAAGGACCTCCATGCTGTCGCTATATATTGATAGGTTACGGATTTTCTTACAACCACTTATTATCAGAATCCAGCATGCGATAAAATTGTAAAAGCAAATACGATACCATCTTACATAGTAAATCTTCATCTACATCTCGCAGAAGAGAATATCTCAGGTTTATCCTAAACAACTACAAAATTCTTGGATTTGTATAAAATAAGAGTAAGAGAATTTTCTATTCCTGCTTCCTGCAGGAGGGAGAAAAGAGATGAGAAGTAATTGTAAATACAAAGTTTGGATAACTGTGAGTGGATCAGCTGACATCACTGCGAGCTCTAGTAAGAACACTGAGACCAGGCAGCCATGACCGAAAGCTGGTGGAACTTGCAGTGGTGGTGGTGGTGCTGCTGCTGCTGCTTGATTCATCTAAAGATGAGGTTCTATTTCCAAGCTTTGCTGAATTGTTGCCCGAGTTCCTCCCCCTAACTGGATTTGAGAACTGCAAGTCCTGAAAAAGAAATGTGATAGTATTTCGATGAGGTGCAGAAAAATTGAATAAATAGAGCTGTGTTTGAACTAAGAGATTGGTTCTTTTGTTTTAGTTTACTCTTGGTTTGGATTCCAGTTCTACTAATGAGGCCAATGACTGAGTGTTTCGAGCAGAAATGATCGACCTCTTACATACAATAACTTGAACAAAATCTAACTAATTATTTTATACAGACCTTTAAAGATTATAACTTGAACCAACCTAACCAAACAAGCATAAGTGGACTGAATCCATCAAGCCACACTTTTAACCCACATCCCACATGAAATCAGCAGGTTGGAGTCAGTGTCACCATTTGTATGACACTGACATAAAAAAATTACGAAAACAATTCATAACTAATTTAGATTCCTTCTCACTAAGCAACACTTGCATCAGAAACCATAAATTTAGTGCAATCATTGTAGAATTTCTGAAATCAAAGCAAAATAAGCAGCTCGCTAGGTTTCTATCAATCGCCAAATCAAATCCCTAGCTGAACAGAAAAAAGACTAGGCACATGTACAAGCTACTTAGAGGCTTGTTTTTTATCACCTAGATGTCTATCCAACCTTTTTGCCAGAGAGCATCACATATTCACACTTACAGCCATTGCAGATTGAACTGAATTTTGATTTAATTTTATATAGAAGAGCAGAATATCATACAATTAGCTAGGTGAGAGAAAAAGTAAGGTATCAGGTATGCTCACCTTCAGACCTGATGGTGATACAGCCTTTGGAGTATGCAGAACCTGGGGCGACTAATCTTGGTTAGATATATTCAAAAATACAAAAATTGGTATCAATAAATTTCACAATATGCTGACTTCCAACCTTTGGGGGCTCACTAGAAGCTGACAGAGATGGCTGTTCTAGTGCTAAAGGTGGCATTGAACTCATCTGTTCAAAAGTAATTCACCATCAAGAAAGCAATGCAAAAAGGATGACATACACAAAATACTTAATTGGCTTTTACCCGTGTAACAGCTGTATGTTGTGGAGGTCCAATGGCCCGCCGAGAACTGGATGCTGGATCCTGAGAAGTTAAATACTCCAAATTATATTTTCCGAATTCAGTTTTTCTAACCGCGGTAGACAATCACGCGAATCAAATTAACCATTAACCATGAACGGAACTACTTTCGCAAAACATCTAAATACGCACCATCAAGAGAAAACAAATTTTAGATGGATCAGATAGGCTGAGAAGAATGGTAATATGTAAGTATAGGAAGTTAGGTAACATAAACTAGGATAACAATGATGACAATCTCGAAATGGCCAGAAGTTGCCACAGGGTAGGCACAAAAACGATGAGCCTGATGAGCCTGCTGATCACATAATGGACGAATTGGTTGAAGATCCACACTCCTTGGGGTTGAACAAGTTAGATGTTAAACTGCTCTCTCGACACTTTCAAAACCGATGAACCCATTGACCATCACGTCTACAATTTTGGGTATATCTGCAATTTTTGTTGAGGATCCACACTCCTTATAGGTGCAGGGTATATCTGTAATTTTTGGTAAGTAACACAAGGGGGAGGGGAGTTCAAAGAGGAATTGAATGGAGAGGATTTGGGATGCTTGCAACCACAATATACTATCTACCTTTTCTCTCCTTTTTCTCTTTTTGTTTACTTCGAGAAACCCTGTGGTCTTTGATTTTATTTGTTTCAACTTTAGCTTTAATATTGACCTGACTGCTATGGCATCCCTGCAAATAAATGATTCAGAGTTCAAACCATATAGCCACGCTTCTAATATCCTATTTCTAGTCTTTTCTATAGTAGCAACCTATTGAATATGTAATTAATATTTAGTGCTTATTGCCATCTATTATTGCACATTTGTATTTCAGTACTTCGTTTCTTTTTAGTTTAAATGATACTAGATCATTATTTGTTTCATAATATGATTTATTTCCTGCTTAATAATATGATTTGTTTCCTGCTTAATACCTTAGTTATGCTATATGCCTTGATCATCTTCTTGTCTTATTTTTCTGATTTATGTCTCACATAGTTCATGTATAAATTATTCAACTGAATTATTTTATGACTTTGCTCTAAATTATATACTATTGTATTCTCGTGCACAGTTTATAACATCTTCTACCTTGCTTAGACAAGCACTAAGCAAAGCACTTTTTGGTGCCTCTCATCACTGAGCGAAGCATTTCATTAAAGGACTTCAAGGCCTTGGCCTCGCCTTTCACCTTTAAACTATGATTCCAGTCTTATAAAAAAAACCATGCTAGTGTCTATCAAAGCATTTGATGTAATTGCAGTTCTGAATCTTCTGAATGAAGACGCAAATTTGACAAGGATTATAACTTGTAGACGTAAAGAAGAGTGGTTGGCCTTCTCAAAATAGTTTGCACAGCAAGCATTTAAGCTTCAATACATGTATTGACTGTCGAAAGGACCAAAACTCCATATGTTAGTGAAAGCAAAAGTTACATCCATACACAAAGTTATAGATTCTAAGATCATCAATTAGCTAGGTAGCAGGACACAGGACACGGGACTCGGCAAATTAGTCAAATGTAGTATACGGGGACACGGTATATAATACATACATACATGATCAAACATTAACCGAAAATACTAATAACATTTGTATGTTCCTTTCTATTATCTATAATGACTAAGAATCAAGTTAAACCAAACAAAGTATAATATTTAACAACAAAAAAATTAGTTTCGACTGCAGGGTTTAATACGATAGGCGTTTTTTGAATATTTAAGTAATGGGTTTTAGTTTTCGGGTTAAAAAACAATTGGTTTTGAACCTAATATTACCAATGAAACTAGTATAGGGTGTAAGTAATGGGGAAATCGGGTTTTTCTTTGAATCACAAGTGTCAGAGGAGAGTTGGTCTCCGACACGGCACCCAAAACAAAGTGTCCGTGTTACCTAATCAATTAGAAACAAGCACACATAGCACTCAGTTGTCTTCAGTTGCAGGCCAAAAATGGTGCAATGCAGTGAGCAAGCACACAGTCATTCAATTGTTGGCAGTCGAAGTTGAATGTGAAACATGAACCACAGTGAACTAAAAAAATTTTGTTACTTGCCTGGATAAGTTCTGGTTTTCTGCTAGGCTCGATTCTCTCAACAAATTGGCACAGACGATATACTCCTTCAGTTGCAAAATCCTGACACGGTTGAAGCCAAAATTCATCACAACATACAAAAAGTGCAAAATGAAAAAAGAACAGAAAAACTTTGGCATTGATAGGTACCTGATTTTCTTCAATTCGAATAAGCTTTGTTTCCTGAGACAGTAGAAAGCAAAGTATCAGTATATATGTTGGAAGAATTGAAGAGTTTTGATGTGCAGATGTTCACCAGAGTCTGGACAGCGCAACGAACAGATTCAACATCCTCATGGAACACACTTAAATCTCCATGTAATTTCGAGACCTGTTTGCAAATCCAGATAATGGCTTTTTTTTCAATTTCTGAAAGAATGAAAAGAAACAAATAAAGAAATTTTTTTTTAAAGAAGTTCCTTCTTACCTCGACCTTGGTTGCTGCAGTGATTTCCTTGCACTCATTAATGTTAGTATCAACACGATCAATCCTTGAAGATAAGTATCTCTTGGCGGACTGGACAGCACAACAATCAAGTTACTAGAATTAAGGACGAGCAAATACTCTGCCTTAAAAAGAATTTTATAATCGGCCTGTAGAAATCAGCCAAGGTTGCCAAAGTGCCATAATGCCAAAGCCATCATGAGCACATGAAAATAAACTATACTGATAAATGACGATCAACAACAAAATGCAGTGGAATACACAGTAGATAGTTGAGGGGTAAGAGTGCAGAGAAATCAAAAGAGTAAAGGCCACTGCACAATGAAACGCTCTCAACCAAATCCAAATATGAGAACATATTTGCAATAACCGATAAAACGTTATACCGACTGCAAAAATATTAGTGATACCTTCAAGCACTGTTTGTCCCAGCTCCAAATGGAAAAAATTCTCTAATTCTTCTTTTAAATATAAATCATTGCTTCTCGTAGCACTAAAATGTCACATTGTTACAAAGGCAACAATCTCTGTAGCCATAATTTCAGATCTAATAGATCTCTAACGGCATCCAACCTAATGGCGGAAAAGGGAGAGGGAGGGGTGGGGGAACAGAATCCAGTCAAACACACTACTGTTGGTGCTAAGAATGAGTATCATGCTGTTGAGACAAGGGAATCCCAAACAAATTGTGCTTTTTAAAATATGTTGAATATAGCCACAAGTTGAGTAAGGTAAATCAAGCAAACAATCAAACATGGATGATTTTTATTCCTAAGTAGGGTGATGACTTTACTATTTAGAATAGCAATGACATTTACACTAACTAGTAAAACAATGTAGGCCTGATAAAACAGATAAAAAATAAAATATGAAGCATGTAAAATATAATGCTGAGTTTCAAACTTTCAATAAAAACTGGAAATCCAGTTGAAGAAAAATACAAACTCACAGCTACAGATGATGAAACAACTTCAAGTTGTTTTCCCACAGAAGAGCAAGCTTCAGAAAAACCCCGTCTTGTCACAAACATCATATCCGTAAGCTTCCATCCCTGAAATTTGTTGAAGATATCAGTAAATTATAGAACAGAATCCCTTTGAAACAGGCAAGAAATAACAATGTTTTAAGCCAAATATCCTACGCATGAATGGCAAAGACAAACTTTTTCAAAAAGTAGTGGGGAAAGGATTGTAACATAAAAGTATAAAGTCATCCTCCTACCATATCCATGTTCAGCAATATACTCAAACAAACATATACAGCCAGCATGAATTTACTCAATTATAGAAGAATGACACCTAAATCTACTTCTTGGACAATTGCAGAAGAACCTAGCATGAATATCAGTTTTGAGAAGGAAAATATATATTCATTATCGCCAATAAATATGCAGCCATGGGCAACTAAATTGTCATACGGTATACCGGCTATAGCAGTTCTCAGAATGAAGTCGTGAGAAAAAACACTTGTGTGCACATGTGCGCGTTTGGTTTTTCCCCTTTTTTTGTCTTTTCACTATTTTTTATTTTAGCTCATGGAAGGATGTTGGCATGTGAGTCGTCGCATTTTCAGAACAGCGGGGAAAATGATTGGCCGCACAAAGCCTCATTAATTTCTTTAATTTGTATGTATATATTTGTACTACTATCGAATTCATCCAAAAGAAGAAAGCATTACCTTCCACCACAAGTACACATATCCAACAGATCCAACAACTATAACAATTTTCACACCAAAAATGCCAGAACCTGCAAGTGCCAAATGGTGATCAAAGGGTAACAAAAAATGAAAAACAGCAGAAGTTTAGCAAAACAATAAATTAGTGGGAGTAAATAGTAAATACAAAGCTTTTTAAAAACAGAAATTCAGTCATGCACTTGGCTCATGAACATCGTATCCAATTTTAGGGGAAATAACAAACAACTTGTTAAATGACACAACTACAAGAACCGGACTTTTCCTAATCTGTTGTCTTTTTGTTGCTGTAATTGATAATAGAATTCCAGACTGTCTAAATTAACCAGTCAACATCAGGTGGTAGCAAATGTGATACTAACTGATGGTCATTATAACAAGTCAACGTAGGACTCTTCACAAATAAATAAATAAATAAATCCATAACCTTACTGCCAAAAAGTTTAATAGATAATTAAAAGGCAAAGCATATGTATGGGACTCCTAAAGAAAAATCATGGTTCACTTGGCAAGATCACTAGGCCTCAGAGTTGACAATCTAGGGCTACCAATCAGGCTCCACCTGGTGCAAATAGGATAAAAATAGGATAAAGGAACAGAAATGGCAGAATCATCAGTCAGAATTTACAATAGCTGGGAAAACTGGAAAAGTCTAACTATGTTTAAAGAATACATAAAGTAGAATAAACTAAAACTTTTTTTACACGAACCAAAGGCAATTAGATTGAAATTACACGGACAGGCAAGAAGTTTCCCTCTACACTTGCAGTTAAACAATCTATCATCGTCATCCCTGACTCTATTGGCAGACCTCTATGATTATAAGCCAAAAAAGAAATGAACTACAATTGACTACAACCAATAACCAAACAAGGACTCACACACTACAAATGTATAATGGAGTTCTGATCATTCAACAGGTGTCTATTGCTGAGGCATGGGCATCAACATGCTTACTTAAGAGATCATTCAGATTAGTTCAATTTTTAAGTTATTTTGGTCTTCAAATAGTATTATAATAGGTTTGATTTGATTTTCAAATTGTGCTAGAATAGAAGTTGATTTGATTTTCAAATTATCTTAGGACGCAGTTTCTAGAGAGATGTGGAGTTTCATTATCCATCAGAGAGCTTTGATGAATAAAATTGTTAGAGAATTGGGAGAGATTCTTAGTTGCATATCTGTGCGTGAAGCTGATCTAATCCTCATCTTAGTATCTGTCCTCCTCAAATCACACAACCATCCATCCACTCAAATCAAAACAAACAAACAAACAATCATATCTCAAAACAAACAAGCCATTCAAACCACAACCAAGATCCCAAAATCCTCTAGCTGCTCTTCTTTCAACGACAGTCCAATCCTCTAGCTGCTCTTTCCCAACAATCACTGCCTTTTCCCTGTCATTCAGGAGCAGCACCATTCAAACCACAACCAAGATCCCAAAATCCTCTAGCTGCTCTTCTTTCAACGACAGTCCAATCCTCTAGCTGCTCTTTCCCAACAATCACTGCCTTTTCCCTGTCATTCAGGAGCACTGTTGACCCTGATTGGGGAATCCCCCAAGCAGTGACGACCCCTCCTTAAAGCCCAACAACCCATCCTTGCTACCCCTTTTTCCCTCTCAAGCCCCAATCACCCTACTCGACCAGAACTGCGCTCAAATCGAGTGGGAAGCGGCACCACCTTCCCAATCTGTTGATGCCTTCTCCACCTCTTCTTGACTTCATCCCACCAAGCACGACTGGCAACGGTCTCCACTCCTCTTCTCCGATCAAACATTTTTTATCTAAAGCTCATTTGGTGGAAAGGATCTAACTTGAAGGTATAACAAATTCCAAGCGATTTACCTCTAATCATTCACTACTCTTTAGTTTGTGGAATAGTATGCGACTTCTGGCATGCCTCACGTGATCTCCGAAGTAACCACATAACCACAAATCTTGGTTAAAATTTTTATTCTATTAGTTATACTTATAGTTTACAATACCATAGTTGTTAGTTACATGCCATAAATCTTATTTTTGACATTTGTGTTGCTCATCAATTTATAAATTATCAGCATTAACCTTAATCAGCTTTAGAAATATTTTTTGTTCTTCTGACCCTTTTAGAGCCCTTATAGACTTGCACTGCTTCAGAGTACCTAAAAACAAACATTATAGCTAAAACATCAAGTTATGATCAGTGAAGTTTAGCCCCAATCAAGGAAAATATGACAAATTCAAAGAGCTAAAATAAAATCACACTTCCAACATATTTATAGAACATATTATTTTATTTATAGAACATATTATTTTATAAGGTAAGGCAATGAAACATAGAATGTGCATAAATATGGTCCATGGCAATCAACATGACAAGCCCATAGCTATGTTGCTGCAAAAGTTGATTTTAGATGTGCCGGTTCAAGGCCATAATTAAGCCAACTCGAGCCCAAATGAAAATGAAGGCAGTCAGCACTATCCACGTGCAGCCCGCGGTCCACATTTTGATGCTCCAACAATGGTACACTCATGGCAGTGATAGTTAGGGCGCATGCGAAAAGGGACAACTAAAGAAAATGAAAGACAGGTTAGCCTAAAAGGAGAGGTGACAGATGACTGCTTTACAAAAGCTCTTCTTCGTTGGTTTTGATTTACAAGGCAAGCTTCCTACTGAGAATTTGGAAATCAGTTGTGCAAGTAAATCGCAGCCAAAAGTGAAAAGTTGCTCGTTTCAACAAGCACATATTTCAAGAACATCTTTATGCAGAACTTGGCAAAGAAATATAATACTTCTAGTTCTGATGTCATAACTAACCGGCAACAGTCGATAAAAAAAGGAATTAGTAGAAGAAAACTATCAACACACACGGCTTTGCACTAGCTTAAGCAATTCACTACAGCGTGAAAGAAATGACATGCTTGCAAACACTCACTAAACAAGCGAGAAGAGATTGCTTAACCAATTCACTACAGCATGAAAGAAATGACATGCTTGTTGTAAACACTCACTAAAACAGCTGAAGAGAGAGAGAAAGCAGGAATAGTTTGCCTCTAGAAAGTTAGAAACCTAACCTGATCCACTACCAGTTACAATAGTGACTGATCGGTTAGTTGTCAAAAGCTGTAGCTCTTGTCGCAAAGTATTAACCTGCATAAGTTTATCATATAACAGGAAATAATTAAATTACACTGGATTTATTAAACAGTATAATAATAAGATCACTAAAATAATAGATGATAAAAATCTATAAATGAATTTACTGATCTAGCACACACTTGGTAACAAATTTTTAAAAAGAAGTAGAACACAAAGGTAGAATGCCATGGAGGTATATTTCTTCACCTGCTATGTCAAGAAAATTTTGCAGGTAGTTCAAAAAATACATAGAGAGAATGTAGACATGGTAATTAATACTGTAACAAAATATATGGTAAAAATACCAATTTTGCTGTTAAAAATGGTCGTAAACAGTGCTATCAAGGCGGTCACCTTGCTGCACTTCATGTGTAGCAGTGCAGTGAGGTGACGCTTCACAAACAACCTTCATGTGTTTTTGTTCTTTACCATTTCCATTAGGTCTTTATAACTGATAACTCATATCCCAAAAAGAAAAATAAACTCATTACATCTTTTAGTAGGCCAATTGAGTACGCCAATTGAATGTGGTTTCAGATTTGAAAGATAGTATACCACAACTTTTGAAAAATTAGCTTATAAGTTCACCTAACTAAGCTAGATTTAACCAAAGAAATTACTATTTTACCCAAACAATGTTTATGACATTTTTACCAAAAAGTCAAAAGCCACAAAAGCCAACTTAACTTATATGCTTCATAATAATAAGCCCTCCCAAACACCCTATAAACATCCTCAGTTTATATGGAGTAATTCCGCCTGACATAACCTTGACATTCACAATTTTGAACATTGCTCTCACTTTTCAATGGTATTAGTTGGGAACAAGGTTATAGAAAGTGTTAGGCGACCTAGGCGTTGGACCCGACGGCTAGAACTTAGGCGGGAGCATAACTGGGGCCTAAGCGGTTTTTCTATTTTTATTTTTTAATTACAATAATTAATAGTAAATGCCAATGTTATAGAAAGTTTAAGCGCTGGATGACGCCTAGACAAATTTCTCTTTATTTATGTGATGGGGGAGGAGATCTTGTTGAAGGTCGGAGAACGCAGATGAGCTCATAGTTGGAGGCTGAAGGAGTATGGAGAAGGTTAGAGAACGTGAAGGCTGCAACAAAGGAAATCACGATCAGAGCCTAAAGAACGCATTCCATGTAAGCAGCACATGTTCCCCTAGATGCTTTTAAAACTTTGATGGGCAGCCTCAGTACCACCTAGGCACTACACGCTAGCTGGGCGGCCTAGCCACCACCTACGCCTAGGTGGACACCCAAGCAAGCTAGGCTGAGGCCTTTTAAAACATTAGTTGGCACTAGCACTTGGTCCTTGTAATGTCGTGTTACTATGACTAAACTTAGGGAAAATTTTAAAAATAGACAGATTTTAATCCGCAAATATGCAGCAATGTCAATGCCAAAAATAACCCTGTGTTTTGCTTGGACAAACTTTGAGTTTGGGAACTACAACTGGGACTCATGTCTCCCTTTTACTCTACGTACATCTTTCTCTCCCCGCCAAATTTAATATCATCTTTTTTTTAGGAAAACATCCAACTATCCAAGTCTTACTCCTCTCTTCCTTTCCCACTTTTCCACTTTTTTTAAATAATAGTTTGATATAAATTGTGAACTTGGTGTGCACGTTACTTCGTTCCTAATCTTCTTACCTTTCAAATCTGAAACCACATTCAATCCAGCCTATTCTGACCCCCTTATATAGAATATAGATTGAACATCTCATAGTTCAAGAGAACATGATGATGTCAAATAATTCCATAGCAGTTAAATAGAATTCACTCTAGAATTTTCTTTATTTTTTTATTTTAACTTTACTCCCAATGGTTGTGGAGAGGTAGTTTTGTTATTAAATATACCCTAGTCCCTATATGGGTTCACATATAGGATGAGAAAACAAGTTTTATTTAGAATATCATCATAAGATGATAAGGTAAAATAACTAGATAGTTTGTAATAAATGCTTGAATTAATTAGGATCCATGAAATCTTAAAGAAGGAATTCGTACAGGTAATTCTTATATATATAACCCAAGGTAGAATTGTCATATCAGACAATGCATGTTCTAAGGGTAAGCAAGCATCGATGGTCGAATTTTCTTTTCAGGATTCCTAATTTTCTATTGTAAAACTTAATGCTAATATGATTGGTTAGAATGAACTTTGTTGTTTATGTTTATCTTTTCAGAAAATAAAGCTAGACAGAAGCAAACAATATGAATTAGTTAAAGTTTAGAAAATAGAGACGCTCTTTTCTTGTCTTTCTTATCTTATTCTATGAAGTTTTAACACAAGCTATATCCCTAGATATCCTACTTCTATCCAACAGTTAGCCTTAAGTATTCTTCTTTGTGATCTACAATTCTAGGTATATCATCACGATGCAATGTCTCCCTTACATATAGACTTCTCCTCTCCTTTTCCTATGTCACGAAACTTCAATCTAGAAATATCTGATACTTGGATATGCGAGCTAGATAAACTTGTTAAATATTCTTAAAGCTTGATGGAAACTTGTTGAATACTCTTTTGAATAATGGAAAATTTTCAAAGTGCTTCAGATAAATTGAAAACGCAATAGGGATATATCTACGACAAAAAATTTAGACGTTGAGTGTGTAAGTAATAGCTTACAATTCTATTTGATTTTTAGATGCATTATATAACTTTTAACAATTTATTAAAGTTGATGGACATTTTTTATAAACATTCATTCCTCATTATATGACTTGAAACTAGTTAATTCACCTGAGCTATTGCATTCTTCAAAATGATTTAGGGCTTACAAATCAATTCCGTGGATAAATAACATTGAACTAACCACACATATCATTTATGCTCAGTTGTAATTTGGATTTTCAAGATTTACGCATATGAATACTCACGTATACATGTATCTATTTATTGTCATATCCATGGACAATAATATCCTAAAATTTTCAAGGTTTACGCATATGCGTACCCATATACATGTATGTTATCTTCAGTATTGTATTCCCACTAAAGTAACAATCTTTTTCTCTCATCATGCCTAGATCAAAAGAACTGAAGCCCACAACATTATTTACCTATCAGAACCACAAGTAAAAGTCTTCTCGAATTTTCTCTCGTTCCCACTTTTTCATACTTCCAATCATGCATTTTCCCTCTCTTCCACTTCAAGTTTATTGTTGACAGAGCCACTCCACATATGACAGGTTACTATGTCATTCCATTGGGCCATCGACAATGACCAAATCACTAGTAGAACATACGCTTCTTAGCGTGAAGTTACAAGAAGGTTTGTGTCCATCCAATAACGTACAAGTGCATTACATGTTATAATTATGCATGCAAAGTTAGACTAATGTCTTGAGGTACTCTTTGGTTTGTGGTATAAATGATGATGTGGTAGTTTGAGGGAAGGCTACATGACAGTGGTGGTTTAATCACATTGGTGTATGAAATCATGGTACGCTTCTGTGTGTTTATTAGGGTTGTTTAAATAACTACACCTGTATTATTTGTGAGCATGAACACGATAAACATGAATATACAAACAGTTAAGCGAAGATAAAACTGTAGACTCTAAAAACATAAGATATATTTTGAAACGTGAATCAGGATAGTTAAAAAAGGCTAGATATATAATAAGTACATCAAAAGAACCTACAGAATCAGTTAGTCATTAGGGCTTTTCTTTTTCTTTATCGAGTTGCCAGATTTGGCAATATGGATTAGGACACACATCAAAATTGATAAAGTAGAAAGCATGAACTGGATCAATCAACAAGGGTTGAAATAAATTAGGTAACAAATGTTTGGACAAGAACTTAATATTACACATTTTCATATTTTACATATTTATAAATACTACAGATGGAATAAAAATATATTAATGATGCACTTCCTGCCTTGAGGCATACACTAGGGTATTCAAGTGGCTATCTGTGAACTTGTGCTTTATACACATTGGTCCAAACTGTAGATCTAACTGTAGATCTTATCAACATTAGCGAAAAGCGTTGCATGGCGGTGAGGCACCGTTAAAGCTATTTGAGACTATAGCGGTAATATAGTGGCAAAAAGTGCAAAGTCGAATAGTGGTTCAATTTAAATATGTATAAATAATCAAAAAAATATATAAAGAAATTTCTAAATTTCTAGGAATCATATTTGATGATTTATAGAGATCCTAAGGAATAGGAAGAGGACTCGGTGAGCTTCGAGTTGGTGGGGGCGACAAGAGAGGCAGAGAGAGGGGGGTTTTGGGGTTGAGGTGGAGTAGTCGTAAAGGGAGAGGTAGGTGATGAGGTGGAGGGCAGTCAGAGGGTTTTGGGGTTTAAGGTGTTGTAGGGAGAGAGGGAGAGGTAGAGATTGAGGTGGAGTAGTCGGAGAGGGAAAGGATAAGGAGGGTCACTAGCAATGAATTTGGTGAAGGTAGAAGAAAAGAGGCAGCGGAATTGGTGGGAATTGCGGGATTAGGGTGTTCTTTTCTTCGTCTTTTGAGATTGAATCGGAGAGGGGAGAGAAGGAAACGAAGCTGAGGGGGTTATAGTTAATTATGGGTTGGGTACTAGTTGCGCTTGAGTTTGATATTAAACTAAGAATCCATGATAAAAAGCACTATTAAGCACTATTATGTGCTAAATGCTGCTATTGTGAGCAAATAGAGCACAGAGAGCTATCTTCCCCTGCTTTCATCGATATTGTTGCGGGTAGCGGGCGCTAACGCAATTTGCAGCGCTATTGGGCGCTTTTTTCAACATATGGATTATATGTATTACGAAAATTTGTCCCACCCTCTACATTCAGCTTATAAAGTTTATGAACTAGGCCACGACTGAATTAGTTATCATTTTCACATCTTGAGCTCCAAAACTTGGAAACAAGAAGAAAAAAGAGAGTAAACATAAAATTAATTCGAAACAAATCAATAGCTTCCTTTTGTTATTCATTAAAATTATATGTGATAAGTCATGCGACAGTAATCGTCTTACCTGAGCTAGAAGAGAATCAGTAGGAGGGTTGCTACTCGACTTAGAACTTTCTTTATCATGTTGAAGATGCTTTGAGACAATCTGCACAAACAAATACATATTTCAAGACTCAATAATTACACTAAAATGACAAGCAAAAGCCGGGCGAAGCATGAAAGATTAACAACATTGAAATCAAGGTACCTTTAAAGCACCAGAAAAGAAGCTTGTGACATCTGACAAGCCCCCTTCCTTTGATAGGGCAGACCCAAGTAAACCTGCCACCCAATTTTTTTGTTACAGTCAATTTCTCATACTTACTCTTGTTTTAAAGAGAATACTACGAGCGGTGATAACAAACAAGCATCAAGTAGGATGATAATTGATAAAGAAAGAATCTTTCTTTACAAAGTAACTTGTTTGTAGATCATAATCGAACCAAAACCCTAATCTTTCGTTTCTAATTGCAGGAAGAGAGGAGATGAACCTGCTCCGATGATGATGGTGAGCTTCCCAAGGGGAATCGCCATGGCCGATCAAAACCCCAGACGAAATTTCACGCAGGTGGAACCCAACATCGGCCTCTTCTCGAACTCGGCTAGTAAAAACCCACGTTACGCTCGCGGCTTAGGTCTTGAATCGGGTCGGGTCGTGATCCATGTTTGCAGCCCGATTAGGCCGGGTTTGGATCTTAGAGGGCATGAATTAAAAGGCTAATTAACACTTAAATGCCTTACAGTTTCCCTACTTTGTGGTTATATACTCCCCCTGTATTTGTCTGCGCTTGTATAATCTGAAGTTTTTAGAACTGGAAGGGTTATCTGCACTTTGGTTTCCTAATTTAATGTTGTTTGTATTAGATAGTTTGAAAGTGTTATGCTCGTGCTCGCATGGGTGAGTCTACTCTTCTTTTTCTAAACTAAAGATAAAGATAATGTGAGCAATAAAGTTGAGGGAATAAAACAATTTGGAGGAGGAATTTTAAATTATCATGGTTTGGGCACAAATTTAAAGATACCTACAGTTTGGGGGTCACATATCAAAATCTCAATTTAAAATATGGGTAAGTTTCGTTAAACCCCTATTAAGTTTAGGTGTTGGGAACTAAATATCCAATATCTTTAAAACTCTTACTCACCCAACCCCACCCCTCCCCCCAACCACCCCAAAACCCAAGAAAAAACTTCTAGCAGAAAACCCTTAAAATTAACATCATTAGTTCATGTGTAGTCAATAACAAAAATGCCACTAAATAAATTTTGGCAGAAATCCCAATAAGTTTTACATTTTGTCACTTAACTTCCAATAATTTTTGCATAAAACCCCCTAAAATAGATATCTATATTTTTTTTAAGCTTTGGATTTTTCAAGATGTTGTTTGTAATGTTAAAAGAAATAGATTCTTTGTAATTTTTCCAAGGTTTTTTGTAATTTTTCATTTAAAGGGTATTTTTGCAATTTTAATTTTAGGGGGTTGTTTTAAATTTTAGATTTTTGAGCTACTGCTAGTCATTTTTTATCTTTATGGGATTGTTTGTAATTTTTTATATTCTCTGATGTGTGTTTAAATTTTTAGATTTTTCAAAGAATTGTTTGTAGTTATCAGATTTTAAGTAGAGTTGTTTATAGTGTTCGATCTTTCAAGGTGTCATTTGTACTTTTGAAATCTTTTGAGGGTCAATTATAATTTTAAAAAATTTAGGGTGTTTATGCATTTTTTATGATTTTTAGGGTTTTCTAATACTTGTGAAACTTCCTATTACCCATTTTGATGATTAGAGGAGAGTTTCAATCTCATTCTTATCCCAATCCCAGACAAACCCAAACATGAGCATTGATTGAAATATTGGGACATTGAAAGCCCAAGAGTTATAGTTTTTTTAAAATCATAAAGTTTTATTTAGATTTGTAGAAGATATGGGTGGTTAAACTTTTGAACTTCAAACTTAAGATTGTGATTTATCTAATAAAAACTCTACCACTCAAACTATTTATTTTAGCTGTTTAAAAAAATTTATTCTTTGCTTCTTATAACATAACAAAAAGATGTAATCATTATCTCCTCCTTCATTGCTAATTTCAAATCTCTAGGATGTTTTAATGTAAGTTTTAGAATTTTAGTGTGTTTTTTGCAATTTTCATAGTTGATGTAAATTCCCAAATTGCATGGTATTTTTGCAATTTTGAACTTTTGAGGGTTTTTTAAAAAAATTTAAATTTTTGGGTTATTTTTGATAAGTTTCAAAATTTTGGGGGTTACTAATAATTTATAGATTTCATGTATCGATAGTAAGTTTTGAAATTTCTCTGTGTGTTTATTACAAATTTGAAATTTTAAGGTGCTTTTTAAAAATATTGAAAATTTGAGGGTATGTTTTGCGAACTTTAAAGTTTTATGGGGTTGCTAGTAATTTTTAGATTTCCTGTTTTGAGTGTAGTTTTTTAAGTTTCAGTTTGTTTTTGCAATTTTGAACTTTTAGCGTGTTTTTTGCAATTTTTGAACTTGAGGGTGCTATTGTAAATTCCAATGTTTTAGAGACCTCTCGTAATTTTCATATTTCATGTTTTTTATTTGTAAGTTTAGAAATTTTTGGGTGTTTTTTTATAATTTTAAACTTTTGATGCTATTTTTAGATATTTTGAAGTATTGAGTTTTTTTTTTTTTTTGCAAATTTTAAAGTTTTAGAGTGATCTACGTAATTTCTAGATTTTAAATGTATTTTTTGCAATTTTTGTATTTGGGGCTTGAAAACTCAGGATGAATGTTTAGAAGTGTAATTGATTCATCTGTGATTTAAATAGAGATGTGTAGGACTTTAGATGATATTAAGATTAGGTTAAATACTTAAGTAGATCTTTAGGATAATTAACATATTTAAAGTTGAGAATAGATTTGACGTTGGCTTGGGATTAGGATTAAGTTAGATATATAATATATTTCTAGGATGATTAGGATATTTGAAGTTGAGGGTACATTAGGATTAAAATGTAATATCCAAAAGGGTTAAGGGTTTCGTAATTGTTGTAAGTTCTCAAATCTCAAGGTATGTTTACAATTTTGAATGTTTGATGGTGTTTTTTTACAAAATTTGAAACTTTTGCTTGTTTTTGACGAACTTTATTTTTTTGGGGATGCTAGTAATTTCTTTATTTTGTGTATGTTGCTTGTAAGTTTTGAATTTTTTGGGTTTTTATCGCAATTCTAAAACTTTTAATGTGTTTTTCTTAATTTTGGAAACATTGAGGGTGCTTTTTTCAAACTTCAAACTTTTAAGTGGATGATGGTAATTTTTAGATCTCATGTTTTGGGTGTAAGATTTTAAGTTTCAGGGTGTTTTTTCGTATTTTCAACTTTTAGGATGTTTTTTATAATTTTTGAACTTTGAGAGTATTTTTTCAAATTCTAATGTTTTCAGGAAGCTTGTAACAATATTTCATGTTCGTTATTTATAAGCGTTCTATGTGAGATAAAGTGCTGCAAGTGCATAATAAAGTAATGGTATAGACAACGTCGAACACAAGGAAGGGGTTTTTGAAATTTTTAAATTGAATTTTTTTTAAATTATTTGAAGAGATGTTTTTATGAAAAGTAGTTGAAAGTGGGCTAATGGGTTTTTGATAAAGAAAATACAATAAGAACTAGAAAGATGGAGAGAGGAGAGAATGGAAATGTAAATAAGAAAAGGGAAATTATAAAAATAAAATAAAAGAAATAAAAATAAAAACAAGAGAAAAAAGGGAAGAAAAAGTAATGGAAACAGATGTAGAAAGAAAGTACAAAAACTATACGAACAAGAAAAAGATAGAAAAGATAAAAACTAAAGAAAAGATAAAAAATGACAAAATTAGGAACTAAAAGAGAGAAATATGAACATAATTAAACTAAAAAAATTGGATAACTTCTACTCGATAACTATTTGTTGGATTTAGATATTACTCTCCTTTTTTAAAGTCACCTTTAAAATTAAAAAGCATAACTAAAATCTAATTAAAGAAAGCATAGATTATAAGATAGATTCTAAAAATAAAATTAAAATTTATGCACAAATAATCAATTGAAAGTAATAATCCTAGAGCACTAATAAGCATAGATTATGAAACCGCCTAAATAAAGTATAACATATCAAATTAGAATATTCTATCAACTATTTTCTTAATTGATTAATCTCTACATAAATAATCAAGGCATAAAAAAGAACAATTCTAATTCTAATAAATAAGTTATACTAGTTTCCTCTTATCCTAATTATCCTAAAAATTTTAGCCACAACATTTTATTAAATATTAAATTACGAGCTAATAAATAAAGCTTGAATAAAAAGGCGAGAAAGGAAACTAATTATAAAAAGTAAATAAAAGCAACAAAATAAAATAAGTGTTTAAGAGTGAAATTAAATCTACTCCTAAATTAAGCAAGAAAAATTAACTAATTATGAAACTTAAACAAGCAAAGCAGAGAATGCATTAGATCTAAACTATTTCCTAAACATGCAATCTAAGTAAACAAGAAAATTTGAAAACAAAAAACACATTGCAAGAGGTTGGCTCATTATGTAAACCAAAGAAAAAAAATTCAAGTCTTCATCAACAAAGATAAGAAGAAGAAGAAACTTGAAGAGGAAATTTTTTAATTTTTATTGCAAGACTAAAATTTTACAATATTTGGATGACATATATTAAAGAGTAGCCCTCTTATCCCACAAGAGAATTTACACAAATTTTCACATCTCTTGCCCTTACTCTCTATCCCCCTTATAGCCTACAACAACCCATATCAGCCATTGAATCAAACTTGAGGCCTAAAAATCCAAAATTAGCTATAGAATGAAATTTGTTAGAATCAATGAGAATCTCTAGAATCTACCACTCCTAATGGCTTTGTCTCGTTCATATAAGCGATTTTCATAAGTAATATATTAAATTATGGTATCTGAATTGTAAGATAATGCCTTTTCTTTGTGGTTGAACATCTTAAGTATGAATTTGAGTTGATTTTTTTCCCTATTGGATCATTAGTTTTAGGCCTTCTTCTGGGCTTCAATTAAAGATGGCTTCAATTAAAGATATTTTGGGTTTGAGATATCTTCGTTTGAGCTCTCTTTTTATTCAATCCTTTATTTCCTCAAAATGTATTAAAAACACTTAGTAGCAAATAAAATTATTCAAAGATTGCAGACAATGTAGGTATAAAATGTAATAAAATTATTAATTAGTAAGTTTGAAATTTCATGGTTTTTTAATATTTTTGAACTATAGCTATTCATTTTTAGACTTTTTGAAACTTTGAGGGGTTTTTTTGCAAATTATAAATTTTGAGAGTGTTGTATGTAGTTTTTAGATTTTAAGTGTGTGTTTTTGCAATTTTTGTAGGTTAGGGCTTGAAAACTGATGTTTAGAAGTGTAATTGATTTCATCTATGATTTAAATAGATCTATAGGATTTTGGATGGTATTAAAATCAGGTTGAATATTTAAATCGATTTTTAGGATAATTAGGATATTGAAGTTGATGGTATTCATGTGGAATTAGGACTGAGTTAAATAATTACTATATATCTTGAGCATAATTAGGATATTTTAAGTTCAAAGATTAGAATTAAAGTGGAATATACAAAAGGGGTAAATGTAATATTATATAGAGAATAT